TTTTGGCCCACTTATGAAAAATGACATAAGTGGCTAAAAATGGACGAAAAGTTAAGGCTACAGCCTTACTTTTTTGCTGTTTTTTGCCCACTTATGAAAAATGACATAAGTGGCTAAAAATGGACGAAAAGTTAAGGCTATAGCCTTCCTTTTTTGTTGTTTTTGGCCCACTTATGAAAAATGACATAAGTGGCTAAAAATGGACGAAAAGTTAAGGCCATAGCCTTACTTTTTTGCTGTTTTTTGCCCACTTATGAAAAATGACATAAGTGGCTGAAAAAGGCCGAAAAGTTAAGGCTATAGCCTTACTTTTTTACTGTTTTTTGCCCACTTATGAAAAATGACATAAGTGGCTGAAAATGGACGAAAAGTTAAGGCTATAGCCTTACTTTTTTGCTGTTTTTGGCCCACTTATGAAAACTGACATAAGTGGCTAAAAATGGACGAAAAGTTAAGGCTATAGCCTTACTGTTTTGCTGTTTTTGGCCCACTTATGAAAAATGACATAAGTAGCTAAAAATGGACGAAAAGTTAAGGCTATAACCTTACTTTTTTGCTGTTTTTGGCCCACTTATGAAAAATGACATAAGTAGCTAAAAATGGACGAAAAGTTAAGGCTATAACCTTACTTTTTTGCTGTTTTTGGCCCACTTATGAAAAATGACATAAGTAGCTAAAAATGGACGAAAAGTTAAGGCTATGGCCTTACTTTTTTGCTGGTTTTGGCCCACTTATGAAAAACGACACAAGTGGCTAAAAATGGACGAAAAGTTAAGGTTATAGCCTTACATTTTTGCTGGTTTCGGCCCACTTATGAAAAATGACATAAGTAGCTAAAAATGGACGAAAAGTTAAGGCTATATGCTTACTTTTTTGCTGTTTTTGGCCCACTTATGAAAACTGACATAAGTAGCTAAAAATGGACGAAAAGATAAGACTATATAGCCTTACTTTTTTGCTGTTTTTGGCCCAGTTATGAAAAATGACATAAGTGGCTAAAAATGGACGAAAAGTTAAGGCTATAGCCTTACTTTTTTGCTGTTTTTGGCCCACTTATGAAAAATGACATAAGTGGCTAAAAATGGACGAAAAGTTAAGGCTATAGCCTTACTTTTTTGCTGTTTTTGGCCCACTTATGAAAAATGACATAAGTGGCTAAAAATGGACGAAAAGTTAAGGCTATAGCCTTACTTTTTTGCTGTTTTTGGCCCACTTATGAAAAATGACATAAGTGGCTAAAAATGGACGAAAAGTTAAGGCTATAGCCTTACTTTTTTGCTGTTTTTGGCCCACTTATGAAAAATGACATAAGTGGCTAAAAATGGACGAAAAGTTAAGGCTATAGCCTTACTTTTTTGCTGTTTTTGGCCCACTTATGAAAAATGACATAAGTGGCTAAAAATGGACGAAAAGTTAAGGCTATAGCCTTACTTTTTTGCTGTTTTTGGCCCACTTATGAAAAATGACATAAGTGGCTAAAAATGGACGAAAAGTTAAGGCTATAGCCTTACTTTTTTGCTGTTTTTGGCCCACTTATGAAAAATGACATAAGTGGCTAAAAATGGACGAAAAGTTAAGGCTATAGGCTTACTTTTTTGCTGTTTTTGGCCCACTTATGAAAAATGACATAAGTGGCTAAAAATGGACGAAAAGATAAGGCCATAGCCTTACTTTTTTACTGTTTTTTGCACACTTATGAAAAATGACATAAGTGGCTAAAAATGGACGAAAAGTTAAGGCTATAGCCTTACTTTTTTGCTGTTTTTGCCCACTTATGAAAAATGACATAAGTGGCTAAAAATGGACGAAAAGATAAGGCTAGCCTTACTTTTTTGCTGTTTTTGTCCCACTTATGAAAAATGACATAAGTGGCTAAAAATGGACGAAAAGATAAGGCTACAGCCTTACTTTTTTTCTGTTTTTGGCCAACTTATGAAAAATGACATAAGTGGCCAAAAATGAACGAAAAGTTAAGGCTATAGCCTTACTTTTTTGCTGTTTTTTGCACACTTATGAAAAATGACATAAGTGGCTAAAAATGGACGAAAAGTTAAGGCTATAGCCTTACTTTTTTGCTGTTTTTGTCCCACTTATGAAAAATGACACGATTTTCTGCTCTTGGGAAATTAAAGCAACTTCTTTTAAAAACAGTTTCTTTATGCATAAAATGTCCAGCTTTTATGCACTTGTTGGTTCAGCAGAGTGCTGAGGCATTCAAATTCTAAGAAACGTTATTTCAATAGTTTTGGGTTTTTTGGGATCAACGTCCCCCAAAACTAATAAAATAACGTGTTGTTATAGAATTTGAATGTCTCGGCACTCCATAAGTAAATTTTATCCCGGAAACTGTTTAATTTAGACATTTAAGTTCGACATTACGGCGTTCAATGAACTTTATTTTAATAAGATTCTTTACTTTTTTAATTACAAAAAGTCAAAATTTTCAATTTCTACAAACGTTTAGTAAACTCGCTACTACAAAGTAATATTTTTAGAGCTGCACAAATTTATTTATCAATAAATAACACTATAGGGATCAGTGTGGAGAAATATTCCAACACAAAACCTCTTTATTAAACAACAAAAAAGTACTTCTTTCATTTAGTTTCAACCATGGATAATGATTCAACTAAATAAAATCATACTGGCAGTAAATTATGACTATGTTATAATTTTTTTTCTTAAAACTTATTTTATTCCACTTCAGAATTTAGTTTTGAAACTTACTTATATTCATCGTATTTATACCTTTCTCTATCTTTTTTTCTCTTATCTATTTTATTAACCAGTTTTAATTCATAACCTAGGGACCTTAAATAATGACCTCATGGTTTCTAGAAAATTCCTAGCCCTATTCGTGTAAATAGTATCTATTACTGATTGTAAATTGCGCTCCATATTTTACTTCCGCTACCATTTTAACCAATCAGATGCGTTCAATCTATCCGATTAACCAATCAAATTCGTTCAATCTACCTGGTTAACCAATCAGATGCGTTCAATCTGCCTGATTAACCAATCAGATGCGTTCAATCTACCCGATTAACCACTCAAGTGCGCAATGTAAGTCAGTGAGTGAAATGAATATAACTGGAACTACCTTCAGATAAACTGCTTATCTTTTTCTTGAAGCCAAATCTGACCCCAAGACCCGCGTGTTTATGCCTCGCGAGTATCTCGCGAGACCAGTTCAGGTGCGAGCATGCCGTTTTAATAAGAAAAAAGACTAAAAGTAAAGTCAACAAGCAAATATATTCATATTGACGGTTGACCGCGCTCTCGCATGCGTGAAAAGATTGATACTGGCCTTCAAGTTTGGCTTCATATTTCCGGTAGGAGGAACGTTCCAGTTCTATTCATTTCATTGGTAGGAGGTAACGTTACAGTTCTATTCATTTCAGTGGTGAGAGGTAGCGTTCCAGTTATATTCATTTCAGTGGTGAGAGGTAGCGTTCCAGTTCTATTCATTTCAGTGGTGGAAGGTAGCGTTCCAGTTCTATTCATTTTAGTGGTGAGAAGTAGCGGTAGTCAAATCTGAGGTCTGAACCAGGCGCCGCAGACACAGAAGGGGAAACTCAGATTGTACAATGAATAACTCAATCCAACGGGCTGAAAGTTCTGCGAGCCTTGGACTGGTCTAAGATTAGACTTCTGATTCGTGTTTGCTTAGATCCAGCTCCGTGTAGTCTGGTAAGCTTCTTCCCATTTTGATGTCTTCGTACGACTCTCTCCTCTCGTGAACTGGTGTAACACAATCTGAGTCTTGCTTTACTAGATTCTGATAGGTACCATTTTCCGTTGTATTTCTGCCGCTTACATCAAGCTCCGTATAAACAGGATTTTCTGGCGAAAATTTGGGCTCTTCACAGGTTTCATTTTGACCTGATGTTTCGTGTTGTGGTTCCTCTGGAACCTGTATTACGTATATCTCAATGATGTCAACCTCCTTTAAAAGTGCCTGATAATCACCATCGCCTGTCGCCCCCGTTTTTAAGGTATCGGGTTGTTTATTAAGTTCAGTGTGTCCAGAAGCCTGGCGTGCATTTGATGGTACCTCAACCTCTTCGTGATCTGATGTCCTGCCTTTAGAAACAAAATATTATAAACCCTGGTCAAACAAGAATGAGAGTTGATAAGAGTTGGACAGTGAGAGTCTGCAGTGAGAACAACAATTGCATGAGAGTTGACTGGATATTACAACACGTAGCGAGAGCTCTCATCAACTTTCATCAAAATTTGAACCAGCTGAACACTGATGAGAGTTAACTGGATATTACCAAGCACAACAAAAACTCTCATGAACTCTACTCAAAATTTGAACCAGCTGAACACTGATGAGAGTTAACTGGATATTACCAA